TATATATATATATATATATATATATGTCTATTAAACGGTACAACGATGTTATTGGAAACAGAGATATGGGCACATGCAAATGTTATCGTATCAACAGCATGGCACAAAGAACACAGATATGAACCGATATGAAGTTAAAGTAAAATACTGCAAAGAACGAAATCTCAACACTGTCATAACAACAAGAGGCCCATGTACTAAGAAACCAACATTAAAACTAGGCGAGACGCAAAAAGTTAGTTATTTATAATTATCATACATACAATCTTTTATTATTATAATTTTTCCACAGATAATGATAGTTCAAAAACGAACGAAGACATGTTATCTTGTACACTCTATGGAGAGTAGAAAGTCTGTTATCACCTTGTGTGATAAACTACGCGAAGTAGAAAATAACTTGAGACGCATCCAGAAAGTTGAAAAGTACGACATGTGCTTGATATTTTTTGGCGCTGAATGGTACCGTGGGAAAATTATGGACGAGGCGAACGATGGTATGTTAAAAATTTACTTGATTGACATTGCACAAACGATGTTGTTTAACCGAAGATAAGTCTACGAAATGCCAAAGCACTTTGAAGGAGAGTCTTTATTAATTGAAATTGTTGTAATACCTCCGCCAAAAGAAATGCTAACTACTGTTTATGCTAACGTAGTAGCAATAAAAACTATTGGACCGAGTACGGTGGTGAAACTGATTTGATTATAAAATACTATACTACCTTATAACTCCTATTCATTTGCATTCGACAGTCAATGTATATATTCCTTAACTGTCAATGATGTCTTTTTATATTATATATATTTTTTTCATTACATTTATTATGAACTATTTGTATTTTCATAACCAATCATCTTATTGTTTTATTTATTAGTTATATATTTGTTTTTTGTTACATTATTTAATTTTTTGTTGTATTTTTAGATTTTGTTTGTTCAATTATCTTTATTTTTTTCTGAATTAAATATGATTCATAAAACTAATTATGTTAATTGTTGTTTAAATGAAATAAAGCTGTTCGACACTTATTAAACATTGTTATTTTATTAAATTATTTTGTACGTTAATTAGTTAAAAAAGTTCCTAGAAGTTAATAATGTACTATATGAAAATTATCTTTGTCCTGTAGTCTATATTAATATGTCTTTGTTTATATGTCTGCAATGATAATTGCTAATATTATGATAAAATGAGTTGATTATACTTTAATATTATAATGTAATAACATTGAGAGTTGAATTTATAGATGGGAATTATTTATTGGGAAATGATTGCATTTGTTAATAAATTTTAAAATGTTTGAATGACGTGATTCTTAAATAAATACCGACGTATTAAATCGGAAAAAGTACATTTCCATTATGGTTTAGCGCTGAACTTAGA